TTCTCCAGTTGGGCTTCTCCCTGTATCTTGGTCAGTAAATCGGATGGAACAAATAGATTTTGTACGGACTACCGTAAGGTAAACGATGTCACTAAGCCGGATTCATTTCCTCTTCCTCGGATGGAGGACTGCGTTGATCAAGTCGGCGCAGCTAAGTTTGTGAGCAAATTTGACCTGTTAAAGGGCTATTGGCAGGTGCCACTGACGAGTAGGGCACGTGAAATCTCTGCCTTTATTACACCTTTTGGTCTGTACTCGTATTCGGTTATGAGTTTCGGACTGCGTAATGCGCCTGCCACTTTTCAGCGACTTATGAACAGGGTTGTCTCTGGTCTGGCCGGGTGCGCTGTTTATCTGGACGATGTAGTGATATATGCAGATACTTGGGAGGAACATCTGTCCCGTATTCAAGCCTTGTTCGGACATCTGGCTGCGGGTCGCCTCACGATAAATTTGGCTAAATGTGAGTTTGCTCAGGCGACTGTTGCATACCTTGGAAAGGTGGTGGGGTGAAGTGCGTCCTGTTCGGGCTAAAGTGGTAGCTATTGATGCTTTTCCACTACCAACTACTAAAAAGGATCTGATGCATTTCTTGGGAATGATTGGGTATTATCGTGGTTTTTGTAGGAACTTCTCTACTGTGGTCGCTCCCTTGACAGATTTGCTGAAAGCTAAGGCTGTGTACGTATGGTCTTCTCATTGTCAACAGGCTTTCGAAGATGCAAAGAGGTTGCTTACCTCAACTCCAGTACTGGCTGCTCCTCGTGTGGATTTGTCATTTACCTTGCAGGTGGATGCTAGTCATGTGGGGGCAGGTGCAGTTTTGCTGCAAGCAGATGTGGCTGGGGTTGAGAGGCCTGTTAGTTTCTTTTCCAAAAAGTTTAACCATTATCAGTTGAACTATTCGGTCATTGAAAAAGAAGCATTAGCACTCATATGGGCGCTACAACACTTTGAAGTGTATGTCGGGTCGGGTGTAGTACCTATTGTGGTCTACACCGACCATAACCCTCTCACCTTTTTGAGGTCCATGAGGTGTCCTAATCAGAGGATAATGAGATGGTGTTTATTTTTACAATCCTTCCATCTAGATGTGCGGCACATCCGGGGGACTGATAACGTGATTGCTGATGCGCTCTCTCGTGCGCCCTGTTCCTGAATATTGATGTGACTGACCATTGTTTGGTTTTGTCATGTTCTATCTTTCCTGTTTGTCCCCTCCTAGGCTTGTGTTCTTCTTTCCTCTTAAAGGTTGCTTCCTGTGTGTAAAGGTTGCTGAGGTCTGGAGAGGAGGATGATGGTTGGGGCAAGTGGAGGTGTGAACATGTACAATTTGTCGGTTTGGGACGCAGGGGCTGGTACGTTGGTCCGAGGTCCTTGTTGGTCCCCGGTTTTATGGGGGGGGGGGCTGCATGATGCGAATTTAGGGTATTGATGATTTGCAACAAAAAAAAAAGCTTGTGCTCTTTTCCTTGCCTCAGGCTGCACACGCTGTTCTCTCATCAATGATGAGGGGCGGCAGGTAGCATAGTGGTTAAGAGCGTTGTGCCAGTAACCGAAAGGTCGCTGGTTCTAATCCCTGAGCCGACTAGGTGAAAAATCTGTCGATGTGCCCTTGAGCAAGGCGCTTAACCCTAATTGCTCCTGTAAGTCGCTCTGGATAAGAACGTCTGCTAAATGACTAAAATGTGATCATATTTTCACCTATCAGATTATTCTCAATTTAATATTGTCTTTACTAATATGTAAAATTAGTTTTGATTTAGAATGGCCCATTATCACAGGAGCAAGAGAAAAACATCTATTTCATCCTTATGCACTCGAATAGCTAATAGGGGCTGGTTCATTTCACTCATGTTGGGTAGGCTACTCCGGTTATTTTGCCACATGACAGGTGATATTCTGCACAAACTCTGTATGCCATGGGCTCTCCAACCCTGTTCCTGCAGCTACCCAGTGCTTAATTTGGGAAAGCAAGTGAAATCTGTTCGGGGACATCGATAGTAACATGTTTTCACAATGAAACATGGGCTATTTCATTAAAAACAGTTGACAGCCCCTCTCTCTGCATGCTGGAGAAAGTAATGAAGGAGATAGAAACGCACAGTAGTGAGATATTCTGTAGCTAAATGTGTCAGCCTATTATTCTTTTTATTTTTTTAATGCCCTATTACTAGGCTATTCAAAATCAAATACAAATGCACTGTAATTGTAGGCTAACTCTGAATTTGTTTAATTTAGGCTAGAACAATTATGTACCAAAGATATCTTAAATCAGTCTTTTTTTATGTTTTTCTGCCATGTGTAATATGCCGTCTGCTATGTATTGTATAACAGCATAATCATTATCGTAATTCAGGGGTTTTTCAGGCTTGGGCTTATATACAGTATAGGCCTATGCAGATGCATAAGCTCTAATATGCATGTGGGTGTTTTGAATTAATCATCACCTTAGAAAGCACTGTCCATTTCGTTGTGTTAGGTTTTGAAACAACATCCACAACGATCATGTTTTTCACTCAGATTCAACCTGTTGTTGAACTTCTTTCTTCAAATTGATCAATCACAGTGAGGTGAGTTTTAAAAGCACATACTCTTTTGATCGTAAGTGTTTAATGTGATGATGATTAGCGAGTTGGGTACTACTAACACATGTCCAGAGTGCATGAGGAGATTACCATGACTCAACGGTCACGTAGAATTTTACTGTGGCCATGAAAATGGTCACCGCAACAGCCCTAAGTCTGAGTCATACTGCATAAACCCCTGGTGCTTTTTAGTTGTGTTTGATTAATAGTTTTGGCTACAGAGCTTCAGACTTCTCGTCCGCTCCGGTCGTCATACAGTAAGCTATATCATTTTAATATTGTTTTTATATATGACAGCTTTATTGAGTGTCTGAGACCTTCCAGACTTGTCAGAAATGACAAATGACATCTGTACTGCCAGCTGTGTCCAGTTCAGAGTAGTTTCCCTGGTCTAAAATGTATTACATTTAATAACAAAATGAACACAGCCATTTCAATTAGCACAGGCTGTTATTATCTACAATCTACAGTATCATCGCCATTTGACCATCTCACCACCTGCGACAGAGGGTCACATGGACGTCATTAGTAGAATGTTTTAGTGGGCAGTGTAATTTATATAATTGGGCTGTGAGCTCCCTGGGAGTCCAAGAATGAGCCTGCAGCCTCATCGTTAGCAGGGACTGGGGAAGGTTCCTTCTTCCCTCTGCAAGTGGCCTGGGAGGGGGTCTCCCCCACAAAAATACATCTGTTTTATTCCACGTTTCTGGAATGGATCCAGAGCCTAAAGATACACCCACTTTGGCTAACTGTTTGAGACTATGATTTTTAACTGGCACCATGTGGTTACCACCTAATAGTCTCTATTATGGCAGTATTTGAATGCTGTGTTGGAAGTACACTTATGTAGTATTTACAGCACTCTATGTAGCTGGTTACGTCATGTTTGTTGTGGATGTGGTGTGGTGGTGATGCTATTTTCTGTCAGAGCAGAGGGTAGCTGGCTGGGCTGGTTAGCTGTGAGCTGTGCTTCCCTTCCGGCTGGCCTTGGTGCTTCTTAATCAATCCGATTCAGACCTGAGATGGAGCTTAGCGGGCCTCTACTGCAGAGTGCTTTTACACCCGCTGCTACTACAAACCCCTTATCAGTCATACTCTGTTTCTGTGTGTGTGTGGGCAGATGCATACTGAGATTGAAAGCCTCTGCGAGTCGAGACAGAAATCAGGCGGCTTTGTTGCCTTCCGCCCAACATGTTGTTACGTCACTGCATGAGGCTATTGCCAGTGCTGTGGGCTCAGTTCTTTCCAAAGGCTTTGCTTGACTTTTCCTGACCCTGTGTGTGGTCCTCATGACCCCTTACACCTGTACTTTAACTCTGAAGTGTTGAACTTAGACTCAAGTTGAGAAACATGTTGGCTGACTTACATACAGGAAAGATGTATGCAAATAGGCAATCGGTGGGAGTGTTTGGTTTTGAAAAAAGAGCAGACGGGTGCAGATGCTTTTTAAGAGATGGAAAAACAAAATGCTAATTCACTGCAGAGAGTGAGTGAAAAAGTGAGGGAGAGAAAGCGAAGGAATGTATTTTTACCTAGAGCAGCTCTCTGGGTGTCGACAAGTTTTACAGGGCTAGGATCTTCCTCCCCCGTCTATATCACCTGGTCCCCTAGAAATGAAGCATGTCAAGGGGAGTGTTTAGAGGCCCTGTCTGTCAAGCTTGATGAGGTGTAATCTTCCTAAGTGAAGCAGAGTTCAGCAGCATCCAGGCAGAAAGGTGACACTTTCATTAGACAGTGACACCAGTGTTTGCGTCCCAAATGGCACCCTATTCCCTACATTGTGCACTACCTTTGTCCAGAGCCCTATGGCAGATACAAGAGTGAAGGGGGTGGATGGATGGAGACTCGGCTCATTGAGTCTATTTCGGGTTGATTGCTTTACGGGTGGTTGATTGCTTTACGGGTGGTTGATTGGTGGCCACTCAACTAAAGAACATAATGGAGTGTACCTCTTCTCTATGGAGAGAATCATTAGCACATGGTGATCTCTCTTTCAATCTGTTTCCTACTTCTATCTCGCTCTCTCAAGCTTTAGTGGCATGAGAGGGACAATGCAATACAACATACAATCATAATTATATTTTGGTTTCCTTATCCTGTCCTGTCCTCTATAGTCTGTAGATGGCCATTCCAGAAGGACATTACTACCTGGCTGTTCTTTCCAGCATGGCCAGATAGTGGCCACCACCCTATTGTCTTTGTGCATCAACATGGCGTCCAGCTAGTGTCAAAGTTAGCCAAACTCTCTCTTTATATGGTAGCCATGTGGTGACTGATGATGACCATATCCTGTCCTTTGTGTGCAGGTACTGCGGCACCATCATAGAGATACATTATATCTCTATGGGCCAAATTCTCTCTCTTTCTCTATGGTTCTATTGACTGATGAACCACCCTCTCCTCTTTGTGAAGGTACTACGGCGCCACCATCCTGCAGATGTCGGGAGTGCGGGATGTCAAGCTGGCCATCTGGTTGGCAGGGGTCACAGCCTTCACCAACTTTCTGTTCACCCTCCTGGGGGTGTGGCTAGTGGAGAGGGTTGGCCGCAGGAAACTCACCCTGGGGAGCATCATCGGTAAGGGTCAGGGTAAAGATGAATTCAGGGACACATTTAGTGTATGTGAATAGATGGCATATTGGATCACAGTTTATGTTTCACAGATAAGATTTTAATGGAATTACAGTATTACATGAAATTGTAATACATGTAACTACACAGACACTAGTAGTAACCCATATTATGTCTAAAGCAGTACACTGTTTGGTTAGACTGTATGTGTATGACTGTGTTGTTTTCTCCTAGGTACATGTCTGAGTCTGTCTCTGCTGGCCATTGGGTTTCTACTGTCTGCACAACACACCCCTCCTGTCACCCTCCACCCCACTGACCCCTCCATGGTCAACGCCACCTGCAACAGACACCTGTGAGTACTCCCTACTCTACTACTGTATTGTACTGTACTATCTGCACTGTAGTCTACTGTTCAACACAATACTGAATATGCTGTACTATTCTGAAAATATTGGTTACATATCATTTTTCTGAAGGTAACATTGTCATATGCACATCACTTTATTGTTAAGTGCAGGACTAAAATAAAGTCTCAATATGAACCTGATCCACCATGAATCGAAACATGGTCACTAATGAACATTTTACAGGACCAATACAGTGTGTGGGTTTGTTTCTTAATGCATTTTCCTGTTCTTCCATCTAGGACTAAATTAATGTTATAATGCGATCTAATTGTACATGCTGTACATGTTTCTGAACACTTACCTAGCAGATTATTTCAATCTCTCTGCTCTGAGCGTTTTATTTATTCTCCCAGTGGTTAATTGTAACCGCAACAACAAACTCCATTTGCGACAGTGCAACAGGCGGGTCTCTGTTAATAGAAATGATGGAGAGAGAGAGTGAAAGAGAGAGAGAAAGAGACGCTGTCTGCCCTCTGAAAGACTGAGCCACTCTCTGTCCTAATTTACACAACAGCATGTAGACAGAGTGTACAAAACAGGAACACCTGCTCTTTCCATGACATAGACTGACCTGGTGAATACAGGTGAAAGCTATGATCCCTTATTGATGTCACACTTCAATCAGTGTAGATGAAGGGGAGGAGACAGGTTAAAGAAAGATTTTTAAACATTGAGTAAATGTGTTCCATTATACCTCCTCAAGGATCTTGTCTCTGTTTGTGACACCTCTGTCCAATCCTCCTCTGTGATCCCAGGCTGTGTGAGCCGTGTATGCTGGACCCGGGGTGTGGCTTCTGTTACGGTGAGAACAGCACGGCTCTGTTCGCCTCCTCCTGTGTACCTGTCAATACAGCCTCCACTGAGAAGGCCGCCTGGGGCAGGTGAGCTACAGGAGGAACTAAGGGGAGGGAGAGAAAGTGTGTGTGTGCGCGCATAGGGCAGCAGGGGGCAGGTGTGTCATGGAATGCGCTCAGTGTGTGGGTTTATTTGTTGTGTGTTTGTGGAGGGGGTTAGTGGAAGGAGTGGAATAAGACTCCTTGAGAAGAGGTTCTTCTAAAATACTGTACTCATAGTATCCCTCTACCCATAACATAGCTACTGTTGCTACAATACAATAACTGTCTTATACCATGTTATTCCAGGTGTTCCAACTCGACCCAGCTGAGAGTCCATACGTACTGGGCCTATAACTACTGTCCCACCTCCTACTCCTGGGTGGTCCTACTGGGTCTTGTTCTCTATCTGGCCTTCTTTGCCCCAGGTGACAGAGACAACACTGTGATCTATGTAGATAATCAATTTATGTTGTATTTCACTTTCACTGTGGGGCAACTACTAACTAAAGAAATGCATAATTAGAAAATGTGATATCTCATTTCAAGTTTGGCGTTAACCATGCATTGATGTCATTTGGGAGACTTGTTCAAAGGTTTGATTTGTGTGTTTACTGTACATAAGTCTCGATTCAGCATTGTTTGCATACTGAGGGGTAGTTAATGTACTGTAGAGCTATCCTAAGCCCTGTGTCATCTTTCTCCTTCCAGGTATGGGTCCGATGCCATGGACAATCAACTCTGAGATTTACCCCCTGTGGGCCCGGAGCACAGGGAACGCCTGTTCAGCTGGAGTCAACTGGACCTTTAACTTCCTGGTCTCCCTCACCTTCCTCCACGTGGCCCAGTACCTCACCTACTACGGTACAGACCAGCTAATCACTGATCAATACCCCCTTACAGGACACCCTTGATCAATCAACCTGAACAGCAGGCCTGCTTTTACTGCAGGATCTGACTTTTGTTGGACATTTGATTAATCTAGAGAGACTTGAGACTTATGATAGGCTCAATGTGTAATTAATGTAGTTTCATCATGTTTGATTACTTGCTGTCATTTAATCATGTGCAGTAGATACTGGAAAGTGCTTAACTGAATTTTACACTGTTGCAGACTAGAACTGAACTCTGCTGTCAGTACAGGAAAACCTCGACCCCTTCCTGGTCAAGTCACGTATGGTAGTCAGGGAAAAACTAATAATGACTGACAGATGATGTGTTGTTGATTTTGTAGTTGTTGTTATTTCCCAGGAGCATTTTTCCTCTACTCCATCCTGGCTCTGCTGGGGTTCTTCTTCATCTATGGCTGTCTGCCTGAGACTAAGGGCCGGAGGCTGGAGGAGATTGAGTCCCTGTTCGACAACCAGCTGTGCTCATGCGGGGCCACAGACTCCGACGAGGACCGGCAGGTGGAGTACATCAGGGTGAAGGGGAGCAACTACCACCTCTCTGATAACGATGCCTCCGACGTGGAGTAGCCCGAGCCTCAGTGCCAGCCTGTTTGTGCTTTCATACCAACTCACTGTCACTCAATGTCATGCCAATTAATGATGATGACAGCCATGGAGTTGACAAGAGCACAAACAGACCTGGGACCAGGCTAAAGTAGCCAAGTCTAGTTTGTAACTTTGGCCTTGGATATTGTTCCTGTTTTCTCATCTCAGATAGTATGTATTAAGTGACTCAGAGTAGGAGTGCTGATTTAGGATCAGTTTAGCCTTTTAGATCATAATAAGATTACATGGACAGGAAGCTTGATACATACAGCCCCTGATCTACAACCTCCCCGAGTCCTGTTCTCTCGTTTGCCTCACAGTCACGTAGGTTACATGGCTCCATCTATATCACAGACAGGGTAGCTATTTATAACATGTGAGTTACTTACATCTATAGTTTGAAGATAATCTTCTTTTTTGATTTATAAACCATAATGTAAATAGTATTAAGCATACATTGAATTCATTCTTATCCTCAGCATTTTACTGTTCATATGTTGTCTTTTCCCTCACATAAAACCCTATGATTAGAGAATCAACCTCCTCACAACAAAACCTTGTTGTAATAATAATAATAATATGCCATTTAGCAGACGCTTTTATCCAAAGCGACTTACAGTCATGCGTGCATACATTTTTGTGTATGGGTGGTCCCGGGGATCGAACCCACTACCTTGGCGTTTCAAGCGCCGTGCTCTACCAGCTGAGCTGGTAGGAGCCCAAACGTCCACCAAAATGGCCATGATATTACAAGTGTTAAATTTAGAGAGATGGGTTGTAATATATACAGTGTTGATACCAGTATGCCTTTCTATATGAAACACATCTCAGTAAAATATTGTCTCAGCTTGTCTGTAGCATCACAAATGGGTTTTCAGACACTAGTAGTACACCCTATTCCATATATAGTGCATTACTTTTAACCAGAGCCCCATGGGCCTTGGTCAAAGGTAGTGCACTATAAAGGGAATAGCATGCCATTTGGGACGCAATCTGGTTTCCATCTAATGATGAAGTTCAGTTTTGCTTTGCTGTTTGTTTAATCATGTTGGTTGTTGATGAGCTACAGTAGCACATGACCTGTCTGTTTTCTCACTAGTAAACCTATGGATTATTATGTTATTTATTCCAATGTAATTTACCCATGATGTCGGTGCCTGTACTGAAATCAAATGTATGAAGGAGTTGACTATATGGCCAGCCAGCGTGATGATTGCCTTTTTTGATTTCAGAAGTTGCACAAATGTTTTTATTGCTAAATGTAGACTAGACTATTCATTGGGTTGTATTGTACCTCAGTCCATCAGAGAGAATACCCATACATTGAAATGGACAGTTTAGTCGGTTAATGTCACACATAGTTGCTCTTTGGGAAAACAATGTCAGAAAGAATGTCTTATTTTGTCTCTACGTTGTGTCTTCCTCCACAGCCTTATGTACAAATCGCAATGCATACTCTTCACGTGAAAGAGCTGGGGTTCTCGTGTTCTAAAGGTTTGAGGAGGACTGTATTGTACTTGCTAATGTCGTTTTGTATATCGTAAAACTATGTAAGGTGACACCTTTTTAGTTGAGTACTTGAGTACACATAGATTTGTGTGTAGCAGACTCTCGTTGAAAGTGGTCAATATAACGTCGCTGAGAATATGTCTTGTGTATTATTGTCTGTGACAAAACAAGATAGATAGCTACTATTGTGAATTCAAATAGGATTTTATTTAGACTGAAATGAAATGACAGCTTTTCAAAGGTTCACTAGATGTGTTTTGCCAGTTCATTGGAACATCAGTATCAATATTCGATTATTGAGTATTTATTATCAATATTTGAGTATTTCATTAGAAATGTGATTAGAAAAGAGAGGATACTATAGGTAGACTAAACTGGAGGTTCACTGGAAGACAGAAGAAATCTTTGTTTTTATGATCACAGATAGTTTTATAGAGAAACAATGCTTTATTGCAAATCCCCTTCACAGAGGTGACAACATTGCCGTCATGTAACAGACTTGTAAATGAGATAGTGTCAAACAAATATTTGATGTGTTGTGATTTTAGAATGCACTTTAATTTTAAGGAAAGACGCTCAACAACCCCTTGACAACCCATTGTGTTATTATTATATTGCCTTCTTTGCTTTAAATCCTAAATGGGGACATCCAATGTGTTTATGGTGAACGGGTGCAATTTTTTCTATGTGAAAACAAATTAAATGCAGTGTTTCTATTCTAAAGTTTATGAAGAAGAACTAGTGAAGATTTTAAAAATGATTTATCTAGTGCTGTATAGTATACATTTGATTATTGTTGCTGTAAATGTTTTGCTAGAATTTATATTCTAACAAAGTAAATATATTCATGGGAATCTTGAACACTTGAATATGTATGGGGAAAAAATAAATAAACTAATTATCTTGCAATGTCTGGCTTTCGTTTTAATGTAGAATCCCAAGGGCATTGTTATAAATGTTTGAATATGCAGAAAACAGATTATGTGGTAAAGGGATGTAGTTGCTAGTGTCATTCACAACTCTTAAAGGGATACTTCTGGATTTTTCCTGTCCTCCCCACCTCTCTCCTCTCCTCCTTCACTTTTCACTCATATTTTTTCCTCTGCTTCAGCATGAGCAGAATGTCTGCTATTTCCTGAAGTGTCTCAACCTCCTCTGAAAGCCTGTTAACTCTGCTCTCAACAGTGACCTCCTCCCTCTCCTCTCCTCTGCTCTCCCTCTCCTCTGCTCTCCTTTCTCCTCTCTCTCTCTCATCTGGAAGGTCTTCTCTAAGAGGAACATTCTCAACAGGGTCCTGTACCTCTCTTTCATCTCCCTGTCCTCTATGCTGCAGTTGCTCACCTCTCAAGTCTGGATGGAAGAGAGAAAAACATAATTAGGGAGCAACATCCATTTTCAAAATACCACCTGAAAATACAAGAAAATACCACCATAATGAATCTCGGTCCGTAAGAAAATAACTGCAACAAACTGTTCGGGAGAATGTCAACATATACAGATCAGAGTAAATATAATTGCAGTATAACGTGTGCTTGTTACACGTATTCACTAGCTTTACTTTCAATCGATGAGCTATGATCAATTACACCACATATGAAGTTTTTGCATTGATTTGGAAATCATCTGCCATAGATATGTCTATATTCGGCTACACTGATTAGTCAATTACATCAAACATTTGCTATTTATACCTTGCACATCATTGGTGACGAGGAGAGCGTCTAGTATAGAGGTAGTGGGTCTCTGAATATACACTCTACTCTCAGTGTTAGTGTTGTTTAAAGGGATGATTGATGGATGGTGCCCAGGTCCAGCCTTGAGCTCTCTGGCTGTTGATTTTCTCCGGGGCGTGTGCTCTTCTCTCTCCCTCCTGGATCTGTCTGATAATGCACTGTGTGTCTGTTGTCTTAAAGACTCATTTCTCTGACTTGCCTGCCCTCTGGTGGCTGGGGTCGGTATTACACTGTAAGCAGAATTGTTGTGGGATTCAGAGTCCATGAGGTTGTTTTCTTTACACTCCAGTCCAAAACTGCACTGAGTTGAAACGTCTGACGTTGGACATTTCGAGGTGATGTTGCCGACAGTCTGTGTCCCCATTTCTCGCGTTTGTGTTTCTCGTCTTCTGGTGGCTGCCATCTTTTGTTGTTGGACCTCAGAGCTCTGTGATTCAGACAGAGGACGAGATGGGACATACTGATCGCCTATAACCCTAACCTGGCTGTCACTGTCATCTGTAACTACACAGCCTGACCGTCTCTCAGAGTAGCCTGAGCTCTCCACAGCTCTCTGGTCTTTATGATCTCTCTGGTCGTTTCCACAGTTCCCTGTGCATTGAGGCCTAGAGGGTGGGGTGTAAGGTCTGGGTTGAGACTGAGGGTGACCTCGGTGTTGTGTGTTCCAATGTGATGAGGCCTGGCTGAGGACAGGGATCTCTTCACTACAAGACCTCACTGTGTGTGACTGTGAGGATCCACCCTGGTGACACTGGTGATAATCCTCAATCTCCTGATATGACATTTAAAGATGAGTATAAAAATATGTAGCATGAGTGTCAGATCTGTTTGTGCTGTCTTGTCAACTCCATTGCTGTCATTGTTACGTTACGTGACAGCAATGGAGTTGACAAGACAACACCAACAGATCTGGGACCATGTAAATGCAAAGCAGTTATTATGTAACAACATGTTATTAAACAGTAATTACACAGACTTATAAGAGCAACTAAATGTAAAGTGTTACCAATAATGAATTACAAGTCAATAAGGATAGGCCTATGGGATCTATGGGAAATCAAAGCATCCCCTTACAGTACATTAACCAAAGCAGATGTATACAGTATTAATTGTTTACTTACGTCATCATCAGAGTCTGAACTGAAGTAACCTCCTCTTGGAGAGTAACTGGGCGATGATTCACAGCATTCCTTAGGACCATGATGAGTGTTTCCAGGACAAGCTGAAGACACGTCTGCAGGTAAGTCTCTACCAGGCTGCGTCCCAAATGACACCCTATTATTCCTTATATGGCACTATATAGCGAATAGGGTGCCATTTGGGACTCAGCCTATCAGTGTCAGACAGATGGTGAACACTGAACAGTAGATGATTTTGAATATAGTGTGGAAACTTACATGAGCTGACATCAGTGCAGTTGGAAACCTGTTGGAATACAGACGTAACAATGAAACAGGCTAGCCTTCACCGTATGAACACATTTCCCCTTACCTTAACCTACACTACTGTTCAAAAGTTTGGGGTCACTTAGAAATGTCCTTGTTTTCGAAAGAAAAGCAACTTTTTTCTCCATTAAAATAACATCAAATTGATCAGAAATACACTGTAGACATTGTTAATGTTGTAAATGGCTATTGTAGCTGGAAATGGCTGATTTTTTATGGAATATCTACATAGGCATACAGAGGCCCATTATCAGTAACCATCAGTCCTGTGTTCCAATGGCACGTTGTGTTTGCTAATCCAAGTTTATCATTTTAAAAGGCTAATTGATCATTAGAAAGCCCTTTTGCAATTATGTTAGCACAGCTGAAAACTGTTGTGCTGATTAAAGAAGCAATAAAACTGGCCTTCTTGAGGCTAGTTGAGTATCTGGAGCATCAGCAATTGTGGGTTCGATTACAGGATCAAAATGGCCAGAAACAAATAACTTTCTTCTGAAACTCAGTCTATTCTTGTTCTGAGAAATTAAGGCTATTCCATGCAAGACATTGCCAAGAAACTGAAGATCTCGTACAACGCTGTGTACTACTCCCTTCACAGAACAGCGCAAACTGTCTCTAACCAGAATAGAAAGAGGAGTGGGAGGCCCCGGTGCACAACTGAGCAAGAGGACAAATACATTAAAGTGTCTAGTTTGAGAAGCAGACGCCTCACAGGTCCTCAACTGGCAGCTTCATTAAATAGTACCCGCAAAACACCAGTCTCAACGTCAACAGTGAAGAGGCGACTCCGGGATGCTGACCTTCTAGGCAGAGTTGCAAAGAAAAAGCCATACAGTGAGGGAAATAAGTATTTGATCCCCTGCTGATTTTGTACATTTGCCCAATGACAAAGAAATGATCAGTCTATAATTTTTATGGTAGGTTTATTTGAACAGTGAGAGACAGAATAACAACAACAAAAATCCAGAAAAATGCATGTCAAAAATGTTACAAGTTGATTTGCATTTTAATGAGGGAAATAAGTATTTGACCCCCTCTCAATCAGAAAGATTTCTGGCTCCCAGGTGTCTTTTATACGGGTAATGAGTTGAGATTAGGAGCACACTCTTAAAGGGAGTGCTCCTAATCTCAGCTTGTTACCTGTATAAAAGACACCTGTCCACAGAAGCAATCAATCAATCAGATTCCAAACTCTCCACCATGGCCAAGACCAAAGAGCTCTCCAAGGATGTGAGGGACAAGATTGTAGACCTACACAAGGCTGGAATGGGCTACAAGACCATCGCCAAGCAGCTTGGTGAGAAGGTGACAACAGTTGGTGCGATTATTCGCAAATGGAAGAAACACAAAACAACTGTCAATCTCCCTCGGCCTGGGGCTCCATGCAAGATCTCACCTCGTGGAGTTGCAATGATCATGAGAACAGTGAGGAATCAGCCCAGAACTACACGGGAGGATCTTGTCAATGATCTCACGGCAGCTGGGACCATAGTCACCAAGAAAACAATTGGTAACACACTACGCCGTGAAGGACTGAAATCCTGCAGCGCCCGCAAGGTCCCACTGCTCAAGAAAGCACATGTACAGGCCCGTCTGAAGTTTACCAATGAACATCTGAATGATTCAGAGGAAAACTGGGTGAAAGTGTTGTGGTCAGATGAGACCAAAATCGAGCTCTTTGGCATCAACTCAACTTGCCGTGTTTGGAGGAGGAGGCTGCCTATGACCCCAAGAACACCATCCCCACCGTCAAACATGGAGGTGGAAACATTATGCTTTGGGGGTATTTTTCTGCTAAGGGGACAGGACAACTTCACTGCATCAAAGGGACGATGGACGGCGCCATGTACCGTCAAATCTTGGGTGAGAACCTCCTTCCCTCAGCCAGGGCATTGAAAATGGGTCGTGGATGGGTATTCCAGCATGACAATGACCCAAAACACACGGCCAAGGCAACAAAGGAGTGGCTCAAGAAGAAGCACATTAAGGTCCTAGAGTGGCCTAGCCAGTCTCCAGACCTTAATCCCATAGAAAATCTGTGGAGGGAGCTGAAGGTTCGAGTTGCCAAACGTCAGGCTCGAAACCTTAATTACTTGGAGAAGATCTGCAAAGAGGAGTGGGACAAAATCCCTCCTGAGATGTGTGCAAACCTGGTGGCTAACTACAAGAAACGTCTGACCTCTGTGATTGCCATCAAGGGTTTTGCCACCAAGTATTAAGTCATGTTTTGCATAGGGGTCAAATACTTATTTCCCTCATTAAAATGCAAATCAATTTATAACATTTTTGACATGCGTTTTTCTGGATTTTTTTGTTGTTATTCTGTCTCTCACTGTTCAAATAAACCTACCAGTAACATTATAGACTGATCATGTCTTTGTCAGTGGGCAAACGTACAAAATCAGCAGGGGATCAAATACTTTTTTCCCTCACTGTATCTCAGACTGGCCAATAAAAAGAAAATATTAAGATGGGCAAAAGATCACAGACACTGGACAGAGGAAAATTTGAAAAAAGTGTTATGGACAGACGAATCGAAGTTTGTGAGACACAGACCAAATGAAAAGATGCTGGAGGAGTACTTGATGCCATCTGTCAAGCATGGTGGAGGCAGTGTGATGGTCTGGGGGTGCTTTGGTGGTGGTAAAGTGGGAGATTTGTACAAGGTAAAAGGGATCTTGAAGAAGGAAGGCTATCACTCAATTTTGCAACGCCATGCCATACCCTATGGACGGCGCTTGATTGGATCCAATTTCCTCCTACAACAGGACAATGACCCAAAGCACAGCTCCAAACTATACAAGAACTATTTAGGGAAGAAGCAATCAGCTGGTATTCTGTCTATAATTGAGTGGCCAGCACAGTCACCGGATCTCAACCCTATTGAGCTGTTGTGGGAGCAGCTTGACCGTAAGAAGTGCCCATCAAGCCAATCCAACTTGTGGGAGGTGCTTCAGGAAGCATGTGGTGAAATCTCTTCAGATTACCTCAACAAATTGACAAGTAGAATGCCAAAGGTCTGCAAGGCTGTAATTGCTGCAAATGGAGGATTCTTTGACGAAAGCAAAGTTTGAAGAACACAATTATTATTTCAATTAAAAATCATTATTTCTAACCTTGTCAATGACTACATTTCCTATTCATTTTGCTATATTTCCTATTCAAACTCATTTCATGTATGTTTTCATGGAAAACAAGGACATTTCGATGTGACCCCAAACTTTTGAACAGTAGTGTATCATCATACTATCATCAGGTCCACTGTGGCTCAGTTGGTAGAGCATGGTACATGCAACGCCAGGATAGTGGGTTCGATTTCCGGGACCACCCGTATGTAAAATGCTAAATGGTACTGTAATATATTGTCATCATTGTTTAGCTCTGAAATTATTCAAATTCTGCCACTAGGTGGCAGTAGACACCTGATGTAATGCTGCTGCCTGCAATTACCTGAGTCAGGAAATCAGGTTCAGGGCCTCGGATCAGTGATTCCTTCACATCTCTGGAAGATGTTGTCGGTACTTCCTCCTTGAGATATATCTTAGGCATCCCCTTCTTAAAATTACATGCTGGGATGAATTGACATACATACAGTATGTCAGTAAAGAGAGATTGGCAAACTTTCTGCAAAAACATGTATCATAGTTTTAGTGATTAATAGCCTACATAATGCACAGTGTCTGCGTAGCAAATGGCACCCTATTACGTACAAAGTGCTCTACTTCTGACCAGAGCACTATGGAACCTGTTCAAAAGTAGGACACTATATAGGGTATAGGGTGCCATTTGGGACACACTGGTACAGTACCTTCACTTCCATATTCTTCATTACTGCAGGCCCTGAAGAGTGCTTCTTCATGTTGCTCTTCACTCTCTAATTGGTTGAGAGAAAACTCCATTGTCTGATCTTTGAGAGAGAACTCAAAGGTGTGGTCTTTGCCCTCCGATTGGTTGATAGAGAACCCCACTGTGTGCATGGCATGGTCTCTGGTCTCTGTGCTACTGGGTAGGCAGATGCACACCCCATTAGTCAGTGCATAAGTTACGGAAATATCCACTAATACTTCTATCTTCACAGATGTAATCAATACAGCAATTGAAATCAGGAAAAATAGAATATCAGCTCGGGGGGGGTTGTCAATTTCAATAATGTACGAACAGAAGATGGATAAAGAAAATCAACATTTCCTGCATATCAGGTAAAAACACATCTTTGATATTTCAGTTCAGTACTCACTCAGGCTCTGTGCCTCCAAACAGTACCCTAGACACTGGGGGGGTCATGTTCTGCTGCTGTTTGGGTCCACTTGGTCCTGTGGCCCACGGGGCACACTCTCTCCTCCCTCCTGGCTGAGAGAAAGGTCTAAACTACAAAATCAAATATCCATTAGGTTTCAGTTATACTTTATCTTTCCAACACTGTTAGTACAGTGGAATTAATGCACATTAATTTGTCTTTGTTTCATGTGTTTGTGGGGTAGAGGTGGGGTTAAATCCATTCTAAATGAAGAAATACTGTTACTATGAATGTATTTGAATGAATACCTGTGGTTGCTCTGAGGTGGAGGTATCCCAGGGGGGTCTAGGGGAGCAATGTGGCTGTGGCAGGACCTGTGCTCTCTGCTGGAGGGAGAACAGGCCTGCCCCTGAGGAGGAGACTGACGACGATGCTGAGGAGAATGGGCTCAGGGTGTCCTGGATGTGTTGCTGGTAGTCTGACGTACAGGTGTCTGACATGTTCGACTCCAGCACTGGTGAGAGCTGAGAGCAACAATCAATGAACCAGCCAAATGTCACAAGGTTGAGTCATCATTTCCATAAAGCTTACTGTATCTGTATGTTCAGAAATATGGTAAAAAGAGTACTTGTGATGTAAGGTGATTTATTTGTGCTGTTAGAAAAGATTAATCAGTGTGAGTAAATGTGACTGACCTGTCTACACGTGAATCCATTAGGAATGCAGTGCTTTCTCTTTCTAACTGCCTGGACACTAAAATACATCAGTAGTACAGTGCCGTTATTACAAATACTTGAATATCATTAAAGATGAGCTACTGTTTCACTTTGTCCTCCTAGAATGATTCTATAATTGCTTGATATATATAACCGATACCTGTACAAAGGCTGGCTCTCCACAAGGGAAAGCCGTGACGGGGAGCAAGGGCTCATGGGTAACTCCAGGGGCCCCTCCCTCATCGACTTGGGTCCTCCTTTATCATCAGTGATGTGAGTTATCTTTGGCTGATCTGGAACAAACCAAGTCATTGTTGTGGGTGGGTGGGATCCTTTTTCAATGTTATTAGTATTTATCCATAATGTATAGATGCCTGTCTGAACTCACTATTGTTTTCTTTCTTTGCAGCAATCTGGTTTACTATGAATAAAGTCACCAGGTCCATACTTCCAGAGCTGGCTCCTTTAGGAGAGGTTGGCATTCGTAAGGTTTTCATCTTTCTCTGCATTTTCTTCTTTTCAAAGAATTCCTGATAAAATGTTGGCATATGTATTATCATGTCACATATACGGTATTATAATGTATACAATATGGTACCTTATTCAAGGCCACTGTGGGTTTAACTTACCCTCTGCTTTTTCATGTCATTTCTCATCATAAACCGGTTCCTGTAATATTGATAATGGGAAATCAAGTTAAAATTGCTATTAAAAAGGGGGTCAATATAATATTTTTGTTAAATAGTAACAGTTCTGTAACAGTTGTAATGTTATTTGACAAAGAAAGATAAAGTTAATGTTGAATACTTGCTAACAAGCAGGTTTTCTAAAACTCGTTCCACACAGACTGTCAACAAGCACATCTGGAAAAGTGCTAACGTTAGCTAGCTAGCTGTCAAACTCACCTTGAACCACCGACCCAATTCATTTTGTCCAGTAAAATCAGACAGACAAAATAAAAAATGTTGGGCCATATATTTTATCAGCACTTTTGAAATGTATCTGACAGTATAAATTAGTTGATAGTTGTTGAGTTTTTATGAAACATAGCTAGCTACTAGTGAAACTTTTTCACAAAGTAGCCGATTATAATGACGCTTCAGTTGAGTTGACAGGTACAGCGCGTGATTCAAAGAAGCAAGGGCCAAACCAACAGACATTGAATTAATGACGTAGCTACTATGTCCCTCTCAAAGATGAAAGAGGCGTTGGTAGTAACCGTGTTATTACACTTAATAACAAAATAGCATTATTATTGTTTCAATGATAACATTAGTTTATTCAGTGTACTGTACACAGATGCTGGGAAAATAGTCACAATACAGTAAAACCCAGGGTCGTTACAGTATGTACAGTAAAACGTACAGTAGAACCTCATTTGAATACGTCTCTCACAACTGATCGTGTCCTTCCGGGGTGTTGCCTATAAAAAATAAAACACTGCCAAACCAAATAACGTATCTAGCGGTTGGGTTTTCTAGCTGAAACATCGCACCATTGTATGAGGTAGATGGTTTTTCCTTTTCTTTTCGCATCAAGATCCATCATCCACTCCCGATGGATGTAGCACGGATTAACATCAAAGAAGACTAGGTCTTTGATCGCTTCGTAGGGGGGAAGATGTCCAAAATACTTGATGCAGCGTCCAGAGTGAAATGGGACCGGAAGACTGCAGCGAAGCGAGCTATCTTTCTCGCGGCCGCTGCCTACGCCGTGAAAACCCTGTACCCCATCGTCTGCAAACGGAAAGAATGCAAGAATACCAGGGGGTCTAAAGGAGAGGAAAATGGCTCGACGGTTGGCGTTACATTACAAACAGATGCACTGAGTCATAAAAAGTCGCCTGGGGTAAACGCTGAATTTTTTAAGCAGATACTTGAACTGATCAAAATCCTCTTTCCAAAGCTTGTCTCCAAAGAGCTCGGATTGCTATCTCTGCATTCGGTCGCGTTGATTTCCCGGACGTTTCTGTCTATCTATGTCGCTGGCTTGGATGGCAAGATTGTGAAAACAATCGTTGAGAAAGAACCACGCAGCTTCATCATCCAACTGATGAAATGGCTCCTTATTGCCATCCCGGCCACATTCGTGAACAGCGTTATCCGCTACCTCGAGTGCAAGCTGGCCCTCGCCTTCCGCACTCGGCTAGTGGACCATGCCTACACCACCTATTTCACAGACCAGACCTACTACAAAGTCAGCAACATGGACGGGAGACTGACCAACCCGGACCAGTCTCTTACCGAGGACGTAATGATGTTTTCCCAATCCGTGGCGCATCTCTACTCGAACCTCACCAAGCCCATCTTGGATGTGATACTCACCTCCTACACCCTCATCCAGACGGCCCGGTCCAGGGGGGCCAACGCCAGCGGGCCGACCCTACTGGCCGGGCTGGTGGTGTTTTGCACGGCCAAGGTTCTGAGGGCCTGCTCGCCGAAATTCGGAAAACTAGTAGCTGAGGAGGCCCACAGGAAAGGCCATTTGCGATATGTGCATTCCAGGATAATTGCCAATGCAGAAGAGATAGCATTCTACAGGGGTCACAAGGTATACAAGGAAGGATGCATGGTGGATTTTACATGCAAAGTCACTATGTATTTATTACAATAGAAATACCCATGGGTTGGATCCCTTGGAGTTGGATCCAATGCACACCCATGACATCATATCCAATTCCCAAAAGTGATTTTCAATCATTTGATTGACAGCCTCCTTATATGCACTTCTTTTAGATAAGACTGTCTGCAAGTGCAAAATAACTAACATACAATGTGAATGTAATGTGAAATCTATTGTAATACATTTGTTGTAAATGTGTTATGCTGTGTAGGCTAGATACTTTTGTGACTGTAATGTAAACTGCCTGTTTGTGTCTGTCTGTCCTGTGTGTGTCAGGTGGAGATGCGTCAGCTGCAGAAGTGCTACCGGGCCCTGGCGGAGCAGATGAACTTGATCCTGTCCAAGCGTCTGTGGTACATCATGATAGAGCAGTTCCTCATGAAGTACGTGTGGAGTAGCTGTGGACTGGTCATGGTGGCTGTGCCCATCATCACCGCTACCGGCTTCGCTGACAGCGGTAACAGTCATCACAACATAAATAATAAATAAATAATATGCCATTTAGCAGACGCTTTTATCCAAAGCGACTTACAGTCATGCGTGCATACATTTTTGTGTATGGGTGGTCCCGGGGATCGAACCCACTACCTTGGCGTTACAAGCGCCGTGCTCTACCAGCTGAGCTACAGAGGACCACATCATCTTGTTTTCTTCTAAAGCCTCTTGTTTTCAAGTACAGCATCTCCGGAGAAGAGGGAATAGTTGTCATGGTTTATCTCTGTTTGTGCATACCAGTAGAACGCCTATTCCGTCTTACATTTGAACCAATTGACATTTGATTCTATTTAGGTCATTTTGTGCTGATCTCACATACCCCAAAAAACAGTCCCTCTTCATTTGCATATTCCACATACAGTAGTAGATGATCAGCATGTGTTAACCCACAGGAACCAACTATCTCAATGATACTCTGTAGGTGTTATTCAACTGAATGGTGTCAAGGACTTTGTTGTGCTGATAAGGGTATATTCATCCTATTGTCCCTATTGTCCTGTTAGCTGCTAACTAACTGAATGCTACTGTTGTCTCCACCAGTGGAGGCTGTTGAGGGGAGGACGGCTCATAATAATGTCTGGAACGGAGCGAATGGAATGGCCTCAAACACATGGAAACCATGATAACATGGCAACTGTTGGGTTTTTGGCCACAAAAAAAGAGCAGTCATTACAGTCTTACTGGTCTAAGCATAGAATGGCTCTGTTCCATTTCGGTCTTTAACCCCTTTCCCTAGGCCCTTCTTTAGGCCATACCCCCTAGGTGTTCACAGATCAGAAAGCCAAGGGGCTAGGGGCCCAGTATGTAATCTCATAGTGTCTATCCTTAATTTCCCCTCTCACAGAGACTGCCGACGGTCAGACTCAGGTGCTGGTGAGCGAGAGGACAGAGGCTTTCACCACCGCACGCAATCTCCTGGCCTCTGGAGCTGACGCTATCGAGAGGATCATGTCCTCCTACAAAGAGGTGATCTCTCTCTCTCTCTCTCTCTCTCTCTCTCTCTCTCCTCTCTCTCTCTCTCTCTCTCTCTCTCTCTCTCTCTCTCTCTCTCTCTCTCTCTCTCTCTCTCTCTCTCTCTCTCTCTCTCTCTCTCTCTCTCTCTCTCTCTCTCTCTCTCTCTCATCTTAAATTGAAGTGGCATTAGACTGATAGGACAGTGTTAGAGTAAGCCATTAGACCCACTCATGACAAGAGGACTCTCAACCTGTCTGTCAAGGTTGCAGACCAACATGAAGCAACATTCATTTTTTCACAGGGACGTTATCCCTTATTTTAATCCCAAAATGATGATGTCCATTCATGCATTTATGTTTTTTGCATACATTTATTTTTGAGTTACCAAAATTTGGACCAAAAGGACATTTTATGTCCCCCATCACAGTGCTGATTTGAATGTTGTCTGTGTTGGTTGTCATATGCCCACTACAATATTTGTGAATATGACAGTTATATTTACAGTATTACATGGATTTGAGAAAAGGGCTGATGTACAAGAAAGTGCACTGTTTCACTCTGTGCGGGAGGGTAGACCTTTCAATAAGAGGAATTGAGTATTGTTGGTGTCAGACTGTGTTTTTTAAAATCTTTTGCCTTGCAAATCAGACAACTGTCTCTGTCTTGGATGTACAGTATCACACTTCCTACTGAAGGTTAGACTGCATTTAGTCATATACCATACAGCGTGGAGGACACAGGTAGTGTTTTGTATGTCACCCAACAAGCCTGTGCATGCAGCGATTCCACTCAATGCACTGGGCTCAGTGATGTGTGTTGCTGTGGCACCCTAAGAGGCAGGCAGAGTAATATTCACTCACTTCAGCTCACCCTGCAGCTAGCCTATTGCAGCGTCTGAACTGGGCCACACACCCCAACATGTTATGTAAAGTTATGTAATAGTATGGTATGTTATGCTGCAGGGGCACACACATTCAGACAGGCACAGGTAGTACACATTACGCTACTGCTGCTATCACAGTACACTGTCTGAACACAGCCTGAGACTGTGACACACCTAGGGCTGTGGAGGTTTTGTCAGCCGGTGATTGTCAAGCAAATAACTGCAGGTATCATGGTAATTGACCGTTAATTAACAGAAACACATTATGCATCTTCTGGCTTCCACGCATAGCCTACAAGCCACTGATGCAGACCTTTGGAACATCTACATTTTAATAAGTCTAAGAAATCCATGTAATATAGCCTACACCATCACAATTTAATCCATTATTTATTTTAGACAGGTCTAAAGAAACACGATATGACGAAAATGTAGTCTATTTCAGAAGAACAGAATAGCATACTCTGAGTTGTCCTTATGTTAGGCCCTGATCTGGCTATGCCATATGGCTGTGGGCTACACTAGTTCATTTAGCAGAAAAGATTTGCTTAGAATTCCGTGGCATTATTTTATAGTATGAAGAATAAAATTGGAACAAAGCTGAATAAAATAGAAAGGATATTTTCTCCAAACATTTGAGGGAGTGAGGACATGCGTCTATTCTGTGTTGAGCGGTTAACAAAGAAACAGGTACTCCTATATGCTTAATTTAGAATTAAATGCAACTTTAGTTGTGATACAAACGTTGGGCTATATGTTTTGATTTTTAATACATTCTAATGCTGCATGATGTGACTCTAATGATGATTTGAAAAAAGTTGCATGAAAGGCATGAGCTCTGCTTTGTTTTTTGCGCAGGCTGCACACACTTCATTCGTCATTCACAATTTGACAAGCACTTGATAATGCCTCAAATTCTCAGGCTGCATCCCCTTTTTGTGGCAGTAATGCCACCTAAAAAAATCCTTGCCTTTTGCTTCCCTTCTCCCGGCTGCCTGCCGAAGCACCTCTCACTCACATGGCTGTCCGTCACGTGATCAGGTTTCTCTCACAGGCTACATACAAGTGAAGACAGACACATCCGGGATGCAACTGCGTGCGTCCTTATACAATTCCGAAGCGCATATGGAAGATATTGGATGAACTGTCCACATTTACTTTTCGTCAGCCAACAAGATGAGTAGGCCTAACGAACAGCAAAAGCACTAGCCTATGTCAATCTACTATCCCCCATAGTACAAAAGTTGATCTATTCTATTCTGTGTGAGAAATATATATTCCAAACATAGTCTGGGACAGTTGTGGGATGCGATAGATCCCAAATTAATACAACCACTAGCATCAAAAAACATGTTTTAAGCAATGAGCCTGACGCAACAGATGAGAACGTTTAGCTTAAATGTTGGTAAACTATTAGGCTATTTCTTCACATTATAAGCGAAGCAATGCGCACACGGCAGTAGACTATAAGCGCGAATGTTCTATTAGCAGGAAAACACCATTCTCTGAAGTGACCACAAATGCAATTATGCATGTCATAATTTATTATAAAGGTGCATTTTTATGGTGAAAATGATCTTCCCCAAACTTGTATATAGTATGCCAGTTAGGCTCTACACACTTTGTAAAGCAGATGAATGTGCTTCATTTTAAGACATTATTTGCCCATTTTAGTTTTGATACAAACCTTATCAAAACATATAGGCCTATGGCCTAGGCCTGCATGAGGTGTGCGACTATGATTTGAAAAAGCCGCAAAAAAAACAATGCACAGTTTTTTTGCCTTAAACTGGGCATCATTCACAAGTGATAGGCTAATATTTGTCAACCATCACACTATTCTTGATGTAAACTTGTCTTTACATATACTAAATAATATGTGTGAAATTTGTTTTGATTTAGAATGGACCATTATCATGCACCTGTCTCGAAACAGGGGCAGCGCAAAAAAAAAAATGTAATCTATGCACTTAAGTAGTGAATGGAGGATGCTTTTCCCGTGGTTAATTTTCATGTCAGCCAGGTAAGCTATACTCCTGTTGTAAAGAGAAGCAATGTGCTTAATATTAGGAAAGTTGAGAAATAAATATAGTAGGCCTAGCCTATAGAAAGCTGATGGGATCCTCCCTCTTTTTAATAGAGGCCATCACTCTGTTTTCTCACGCAATTGCATAGCCTATAGAAATGTAGTGCAACATGAGCTCATGCTCTCATGAAGTGTTTGATTAGATTTTCGATTACATTTGCTTTGATGTCAGAGTGATTAGAGGGACAATAGAGTGCTGAGTACCAGGCAGTTAGCAAGTTTGGTAGGCTACTAATGACCATCAGCAGCATCAGAGCTTGGAGAAGCCTAATTACCGTGACTAAATGGTCACTGGAATTTGACTGCAGTCATGACTTGTGACTGCAGGTGTGGCAGTAATATGGTCACCATAACAGCCCATGACACAACCCCATAGGTTATGTAATATTATACCACAGCATTGTTGAATACTCGTTTCTGATTGGCTAGAAGGGCATTCTAGAATTGACATTAAAACCAGTTGGAAAGATACCTGGACAGTTGAAAAAGATATCAGGACACCTTGCAATCATGACGCAATAAGCGCCTACACATGCAGACCGTACTTGCTACAAAGTTACAGAAAGTTAAACCAACAACCACACAAACCAAAATTGGATACATTTTAAACGCAGGTCCAACGAGGAAAAAGCTTAGCTAGCCAGCTAGTATTGATTTGTTTTTGCAGAGACATATTTTTTGGGAGCATTGATGACCTAATGTGTTGAGTGAAGAACATGAATTTCTCTGGTCCCGGCTACTGTTGCAGTCCCACGTTTCTAGTTTGACCAGCTGTTTTTAGTAACTGATATTGTTTAATTCTGTCATATTGGCAGGTTTGCTAGCAACAAACTATTTAGCTAGCTTCTAGCCTAGTGTTTGATATGCAATGCGATCTCCTTGTAATGAACAGGGTTGAGTGTCCTGACGAGAATGCACACTTGTCTAACTATGCCAGGCCAAATCGGGCATTATCAGCTCATTGTTATGGATGTATCCAAATGAATGTCAATAGAAAACAGCAACTTTGCTGTTATTCTGGCTGCAGAGGTCGTGACTGTGTTAGCCGTAGCTTGCTGGCTAGCTAGCAAGCGAGGGATAAGAACGTTGCCAGCGAGCATGGCAATGGTACACAAAGAACGAACGGCTGGGTCGAGTGTCTAGCAACCAAAAGATGAGAAAGTATTAATTCGCTTATATAAAGTAAAATATCAACAAAAACATTTTATTTCTACCGGTAAATGTGTGCTTATAGTATTGTTTTCTTTGGCAACTGTGGTATAAGCGGGATAAACAGTTTAAACAAACTCAACGGAATAAACTTTGCTGTTATTCTGGCTGCAGAGCTAGCGACTGTGTATCTGTAGCTAGTTGGTTACCTAGCAGCAAGCAAAGGATAAGAACGTTGCCACTGAGCATGGCAACGGAACATAAAGAACCAACGACTGGGTCTGTCCATAAATATCGAACTAATCGAACGAACGACTGGGTTGTGTCTCTAGCAACCAAAATATGAGAAATGATGAATTAGCTTATAAAAATGAAAATATCAACGAAAAAAAATATGTATACCACTGTGTGCTTTCATATTGTTTTCTTTGGCAACTGTGGTATAAGCGGGATAAGGGTTTTACCTGGAACCAAAAAGGGTTCTCCTATGGGGACAGCCGCAGAACCCTTCTAGAACCCTTTTTTCTAAGAGTGTACAGTCGTCCCATTAGACAGGCAATGTTATCTGTAGGAAGGTCTCGGGCCATCATCAGTACTGTGTATTCCCTAAACACAGATACAAACAGCTATAAAAAACAACACCAGCCATTGTTTAGAGTCAGATTAAGCTATGAGTGGAAATTAGTTGCATAAATTAAAAAGAGGGCTTTTGCATCATTCGATCAAATAATAGCCCTTCAACTTGTACTGTAATCCTGACCAGATTTTCAGTGCACACTGCAATACACTACTAAACACCAGCTCTGCTGCTGACTGCTCCCATAGTTCACTTGCATTAATGTAAGGGTTTTCCCAAAGACACACACACTGCTCTACTTTGCAAACATCCACTGTTGGGCAATGGTGGTGAACTCTGTTGGGTAAGATGACCTAACTGACCCCTTTCAGTTCAGTCTTACTCCAGTGTTATTTACCTCAACGAATGACCTCTGACCTTTCTGGTTGTCTGTGATAGGTCACAGAGCTGGCGGGCTACACAACGCGCGTCTACAACATGTTCCTGGTGTTTGGTGAGGTGCAGAGGGGCGTGTACAAGCGTTCATCCACATCGACCACGGGAACAGGAGAGAAGAAGAACGTGGCCAGGCCAGAGATGCACATCGACGGGCCTTTGGAAATCAAAGGTAGACTGTCTGAGATGTTAAGCATTTTGTACATATTTGCCAAGAGGTGCATAGGATACACATGCACATTCTGAGACACTCAAATGTCATCCTATTCCCTATTCAGTACACAACTATACCATATTATACTACTCTACTACATCAGGGGGTGGTGGAAGCATCTGGGTTAGAGAGGCGGACCGGTAGCCTGGTAACCGAAAGGTTGCCGGTTCGAATCCCCAAGCTGCATGCAGGGAGTAAGCCGGCAGCCGGAGGGTTACCAGCTTCAATGATATTTGTGCGTCTGTAACTTTCTCACTCATCATAATTCACGATTCATTCAGGATATTCCGTAATCATGATAGCAACCACATGAATATAGAAGTGTTCAGAAACATAATCTATTCTTATTTACAATAAAAGTAACTCCAAAATTACACAATATTCACCATTCATTTCTATTGGGCACAAAATAATCTGAAACACAACCAAAACAAACAGCAAACGCATCCAAGAAGTTTGTAGAGTCACAAGATTGATGTAGTCATTGTGTGCTAGGAATATGGGACCAAATACTTCAATACACAGTTAAGTGAATTTGTCCCAATACTTTTGGTCCCCTAAAATGGGGGGGACAATGTACAAAAAGTGCTGTTATTTCTGAACGGTTCACCCGATATGGATGTAAATACCCTCAAATTAGTGCTGGCTGACGGTCACTTTAACCTCATAGTCATTTTATCATTTCAAATCCAAAGTGCTGGAATACAGAGCCAAAACAACAACAAAAAAGTCACTGTCCCTATACTTTTGGAGCTCACTGTATATGCACAAATGTTAAGCAAATTCACTATCCGATTGCAGCTTGTTGCCTTACAATTGTACGTTGAATCAACTTTATTGCTATTTTGTTTAGCAAACTCACAATCCTATTGCATCTTTTTGCCTTACAATTACAGTATATGTTGAATCAACATATTTTTTTACAGGTTAGAGATAGACACAGGGTCCACCCAAAATGGCATTTTATTCCCTATATAGTGCACTACTTTCAGTGTTTCCCCATATTCATTTACCAGTGGCAGGCCGCCGCTTCTAAATCATTGCCGCCAATATAATATACAGTGGGGGAAAAAAGTATTTAGTCAGCCACCAATTGTGCAAGTTCTCCCACTTAAAAAGATGAGAGAGGCCTGTAATTTTCATCATAGGTACACGTCAACTATGACAGACAAAATGAGGGAAAAAAATCCAGAAAATCACATTGTAGGATTTTTAATGAATTTATTTGCAAATTATGGTGGAAAATAAGTATTTGGTCAATAACAAAAGTTTCTCAATACTTTGTTATATACCCTTTGTTGGCAATGACACAGGTCAAACGTTTTCTGTAAGTCTTCACAAGGTTTTCACACACTGTTGCTGGTATTTTGGCCCATTTTCTATGGGGTTGAGACCTGGAGACTGGCTAGGTCACTCCAGGACCTTGAAATGCTTCTTACGAAGCCACTCCTTCGTTGCCCAGGCGGTGTGTTTGGGATCATTGTCATGCTGAAAGACCCAGCCACGTTTCATCTTCAATGCCCTTGCTGATGGAAGGAGGTTTTCACTCAAAATCTCACGATACATGGCCCCATTCATTCTTTCCTTTACACGGATCAGTCGACCTGGTCCCTTTGCAGAAAAACAGCCCCAAAGCATGATGTTTCCACCTCCATGCTTCACAGTAGGTATGGTGTTCTTTGGATGCAACTCAGCATTCTTTGTCCTCCAAACACGGCGAGTTGAGTTTTTACCAAAAAGTTCTATTTTGGTTTCATCTGACCATATGACATTCTCCCAATCCTCTTCTGGATCATCCAAATGCACTCTAGCAAACTTCAGACGGGCCTGGACATGTACTGGCTTAAGCAGGGGGACACGTCTCGCACTGCAGGATTTGAGTCCCTGGCGGCGTAGTGTGTTACTGATGGTCGGCTTTGTTACTTGGGTCCCAGCTCTCTGCAGGTCATTCACTAGGTCCCCCCGTGTGGTTCTGGGATTTTTGCTCACCGTTCTTGTGATCATTTTGACCCCACGGGGTGAGATCTTGCGTGGAGCCCCAGATCGAGGGAGATTATCAGTGGTCTTGTATGTCTTCCATTTCCTAATAATTGCTCCCACAGTTGATTTCTTCAAACCAAGCTGCTTACCTATTGCAGATTCAGTCTTCCCAGCCTGGTGCAGGTCTACAATTTTGTTTCTGGTGTCCTTTGACAGCTCTTTGGTCTTGGCCATAGTGGAGTTTGGAGTGTGACTGTTTGAGGTTGTGGACAGGTGTCTTTTATACTGATAACAAGTTCAAACAGGTGCCATTAATACAGGTAACGAGTGGAGGACAGAGGAGCCTCTTAAATAAGAAGTTACAGGTCTGTGAGAGCCAGAAATCTTGCTTGTTTGTAGGTGACCAAATACTTATTTTAAAAAATTCTCAATTTGTCTGTCATAGTTGACGTGTACCTATGATGAAAATTACAGGCCTCTCTCATCTTTTTAAGTGGGAGAACTTGTACAATTGGTGGCTGACTAAATACTTTTTTCCCCCACTGTATATATATAAAACAAATCGGGATTGTAAAACATTTTCAGTGTAAAGTTAAATGATTAAAACAGATAAAGTATGTAGTAAAGATAATGGACCTATATATTCAAAATAAAATATGATAATCTTTTAGAACTAACAGTCACCAAAATAAAATGAGACAGTCAGGGAGAATCTAAAATTCCCAGAATTTCATGGCATTATTTTGTTAGAATGTTTGAGTCATTCAGATAGCATAAGAACACGGCATAAATGTGTAGAATTGCAGGAAATTAGCTCTAAACGGCACATTTTCTCTCAGCCCCATGGCAAAATGTATAAAATTGCACGAAATGCGCTTTAAATCTGAAATGTTTTTTCTCTGCCCCATGACAGAATGTGTAGAATTTTTGGAAATTAGCTTTAAAACAGCTACATTTTGTCTCTGCGGCAAGGAGGAAGGCCTCTAAAATGTTCAGTCGCATGGAGTGACAAGTTCAAACGTATGTTTGTAGTATTTGATGCATTCATAGTCTTTTGGGGTTTATCAGTTAGGTACAGTACATTCGGAAAGTATTCAGACCCATTGACTTTTTCCACATTTTGTTATGTTACAGCCTTATTCTAAAATGGATTAAATAAATGTTTTTCCTCGTCAATCTACAAACAATACCCCATAATGACAAAATTAAACAAGTTTTTTTTTAATGTTTGCAAATATATTAAAAATAAAAACAGAAATACCTTATTTACATAAGTATTCAGAACCTTTGCTATGAGACTCGAAATTGAGCTCAGGTGCATCCTGTTTCCACTGATCATCCTTGAGATGTTTCTACAACTTGATTGGAGTCCACCTGTGCTAAATTCAATTGATTGGATATGATTTGGAAAGGCACACACCTGTCTATATAAGGTCCCACAGTTGACAGTGCATGTCAGAGCAAAAACCAAGCCATGAGGTCGAAGGAATTGTCTGTAGAGCTCCAAGACAGGATTGTGTCGAGGCACAGAGCTGGGGAAGGGTACCAAAAAATATCTGCAGTATTGAAGGTCCCCAAGAACACAGTGGCCTCCATCAATCTTAAATGGAAGAAGTTTGGAATCACCAAGACTCTTCCTAGAGCTGGCCGCCCGGCCAAACAGAGCAATCGGGAGAGAAGGGCCTTGGTCAGGTGACCAAGAACTCGATGGTCACTCTGACAGAGCTCCAGAGTTCCTCTGTGGAGATGGGAGAGCCTTCCAGAAAGACAACCATCTCTGCAGCACTCCACCAATCAGGCCTTTATGGTAGAGTGGCCAGACGGAAGCCACTCTTCAGTATAAGGCACATGACAGCCCGCTTGGAGTTTGCCAAAAGGCTCTCAGACCATGAGAAACAAGATTCTCTGGTCTGATGAAACCAAGATTGAACTCTTTGGCCTGAATGCCAAGCGTCACGTCTGGAGGAAACCTGGCACCATCCCTACGGTGAAGCATGGTGGTGGCAGCATCATGCTGTGGGGATATTTTTCAGCGGCAGGAACTCAAATCAAATCAAATTTTATTTGCCACATGCGCCGAATACAACAGGTGAAGACATTACATTGAAATGCTTACTTACAAGCCCTTAACCAACTATGCAGTTAAGAAAAAAATATAAATAGCAAATAATGAAAGAGCAGCAGTAAAATAAAATAACAGTAGGGAGGTTATATACAGGGGGTACCGGTACAGAGTGAATGTGCGGGGGCACCTGTTAGTCGAGGTAATTGAGGTAATATGTACATGTAGGTAGAGTTAAAGTGACTATGCATAAATAATAAACAGAGTAGCAGCAGCGTAAAAGAGGGGGGTGGGGTGGGGGGGCAATGCAAATAGTCCGGGTAGCCATGATTAGCTGTTCAGGACTCTTATGGCTTGGGGGTAGAGGCTGTTAAGAAGCCTTTTGGACTGAGACATGGCGCTCTGGTACCGCTTGCCGTGCGGTAGCAGAGAGAACAGTCTATGACTAGGGTGGAGTCTTTGATAATATTTGGGGCCTTCCTCTGACACCGCCTGGTATAGAGGTCCTGGATGGCAGGAAGCTTGGCCCCAGTGATGTACTGGGCGTACGCACTACCCTCTGTAGTGCCTTGCCATACCAGGCGGTGATGCAACCAGTCAGGATGCTCTCGATGGTGCAGCTGTATAACTTTTTGAGGATCTGAGGACCCATGCCAAATCTTTTCAGTCTCCTGAGGGGGAATAGGCTTTGTCGTGCCCTATTCAACTGGGAGACTAGTCAGGATCGAGGGAAAGATGAACGGAGCAAAGTACAGAGATCCTTGATGAAAACCTGCTCCAGATGGCTCAGGACCTCAGACTGGGGCAAAGGTTCACCTTCCAACAGGACAACGACCCTAAGCACACAGCCAAGAGAACGCTGTGTGCTTGGTGATTCCAAACTTCTTCCATTTAAGAATGATGGAGTCTCTGAATGTCCTTGAGTGGCCCAGCCAGAGCCCGGACTTGAACCCGATTAAACATCTCTGGAGAGACCTGAAAATAGCTGTGCAGCAACGCTCCCCATCTAACCTCACAGAGCTTGAGAGGATCTGCAGAGAAGAATGGGAGAAATTCCCCAAATACAGGTGTGCCACGCTTGTAGTGTCATACCCAAGAAGACTTGAGGCTGTAATCGCTGCCAAAGGTGCTTCAACAAAGTACTGAGTAAAGGGTCTGAATACTTATGTAAATATGTTTTTGCTTTGTCATTATGCGGTATTGTGTGTAGATTGATGAGGGAAAAAAACTTTTGAATCCATTTTAGAATAAGGCTGTAACGTAACAAAATGTGGAAAAAGTCAAGGGGTCTGAATACTTTCCGAATGCACTGTAAATGCAGATGGGCCATCCCAAGCTTCAGCCTATTTATTTCAGGCTACAGGTTATAATGCTTTTAAAGGGAAAATTTTATTTAAAATGGTGTCAACGTACATTTACATTTACATTTTAGTCATTTAGCAGACGCTCTTAATCATATATTCTTTCATTTTGGAGTAGAATGTCCTTTTCAAAGTCACCAGAAGTGACCTTGTCACAGACGTTGCCCCCCACTCTAACTTTGCCACCGCTGCTGAAAAAAATCCTAGGGGAAACACTGACTTTTGACCAGAGACCTATGGGCCTTTGTCAAAAGTAGTGCACTATAAAGGGAATAGGATACCATTTGGGACAGAGCCTCGGCTAATCCTGTGCTGTGCAGTGTATCTTTCTTGCTGTTCTTTCTGACCATCTTGGTCTAAACAAGATGTTTTTTGTCTTTGACTTCTGCAGGAAGAGTCATCGATGTGGACAATGGCATCGTGTGTGAGAGTGTCCCTATCATCACTCCCAATGGAGACATAGTGGTCTCCAGCCTCAACTTCAAGGTGAGAAATAACACAGCAAAATCCTGGGCGATGTTCAGTAGTGATAAAACGTTTTCAAATGAAGTGAAATACTTCAAATTAAGTACTACCTGAACGTATCCAATAAGAGAACAGATTTTTGTTTTCCATTTCCAAACTGTTGTGAAAGTGTTTCCTACTGAAGATCCTGCTCAGCATCCTACTAAATCAATCGAAATGTTACAGTACCTGTGATGTGTTTGCTGTTACTATGTTTTCCTAATCCTCCAGCCATCTTCCCCCAGGGTAGGGTGTACATGCTTTGTCCTTTGTTGTGTTACCAGGAAATTAGCTCACTTTGAGATTTGAATGTATTTTTGAAGTGAACCCTGGCTAAGAGAAGGAAGCACACATGTAATTATCACAAACGCACACTCACGCTAAATTGCATAGCATAAAATACGGACAGTATGGCTTCCTAATACTCTACATAAACCATGACAAAAAAATATGTAGAGACTACTTACAATCAAGTGGTTCATACTAGTCTCGCTTTGCCAAACTCGTGTCATGGGTTGTTAGACACAGCAGCTGTGATGAGACTATTCAGTACTCCAAGGCTATAACGTGTGTGTGAATGATGTTTCTTGCAGGTGGAGGAAGGTATGCACCTGTTGATCACAGGTCCTAACGGCTGTGGGAAGAGTTCTCTGTTCAGGATCCTCAGTGGGCTGTGGCCTGTGTATGGGGGACTGCTGCACAAACCCTCCCCACAACACATGTTCTACATACCACAAAGGTCAGTGGTTGTCACTGTCACACACACACTTATGGCCACCCGTGTACTGACTCTGACACACATGCACCCATGTATAGATGTAGGATCTTCATTTGAAACTTGAAGGGTATTCAAGGTTTAAAAAGACTTCTAAAGTTTGTAATTTCCACTTTAAAATATCAGACTTGATTTGCCCTAACGAAAGATGTATCAACCCCTACAAAAAATGTCCATTAATTGTAATCCACATAATAATTCACATTTCCTGTTGCTGCAGGATTATTTTCCTGCTGTAGCAAACTGGCTCAAATGAAGATCCTACATCTGTACATGTACCATGCAGGCTTGCATAGAGGCATGCACGGATGCATATTCTGCATGCATGCACACACACAACCACATTCACACACTACATACATACAGTTAAATGTATTGAAAATCAGCAGTAGGGATCCTTACCCTCTAGACTCAGTAACTGGATCTCCATGGAGAGTGAGAGAGAGAAACCAGACCTTAGAGTAGTGAAATATTTACCAGCTCTTCCAGGTGTTTGACGGCTTTACAGTAATGCTGGAACGTGACACACACACACAGTTTTGTATTGCTATCCTTGTGGGGACCAAATAATTGATTCCCATCCAAAGTCCTATTTTCTATAACCCTAACCCAAACCTTAACCCTAACCTTAACCATTAACCTACCATAACCCTAAACTTACCCTAACCCTAAAACTATACCTAAACCCTAACCCCAACCTTAATTCTAACCCTAATTGTAACCCTAAACCTAACCCCTAAGCCTAAAATAGCATTTTTCCTTGTGGGGACCGGCGAAATGTCCCCACTTGTCAGAATTTTCCTTGTTTTACTATCCTTGTGAGGACTTCTGGTACCCACAAGGATAGTAAAATAAACACACAGACACACACACACACACACGAGCACACACACACACACAGTTAAATGTATTGAAAATCAGCTGCAGGTAACCTTACCCTCTAGACTCAGTAACTGGATCTCCATGGAGAGTGAGAGAGAGAAACCAGACCTTAGAGTAGTGAAATATTTACCAGCTCTTCCAGGTGTTTTGACGGCTTTACTGTAATGGTGAAACCTCTCTCCTCAGGCCGTACATGTCCATTGGGACCCTGAGAGACCAGGTGATCTACCCAGACTCTCTAAAAGACATGCATGACAGAGGCTACAGAGACAAGGACCTGGAGGTCATACTGGACATCGTTAACCTCAACCAGATAGTGACTCGCGAGGGCGGTAAGAACCGGGGAAGGGGCGGTGAGGGAAATACGATCTGAGTCAGCTTAGAACAAAAGGGCTGCGTGAGTCTGAAGACATAGTAACAGGGGCACTTTGAAAAGAGGTAGCTGAAGCCTGACAAAACTCCAGGTAACCTATTTTTAAGCCATTTACTCTTGAGATGAATGATATGGTTTCCAAGGGGATTCCCAAACAACAATAGACATATACTGAATGGGGCCCTCTTAGTTTAGCTAAAACATCCTTCCTTAAAAAGTTTCTATATCTCTTATCATACTATGCGCTGTCTGTAGTGCATTTGACCACTCAATAAGTTATTTCTGTATTTTTCTAGTGGCATCAGTCTATCCCTCTCCATCTCTTTGGTCTTTGGTCGGGGTGCCAGGTAGCTTAAGGCCGCTGGTTCTAATCCCCGAGCCGACTAGGTGAAAAATCTGTCGATGTGCCCTTGAGCAAGGCACTTAACCCTAATTGTTCCTGTAAGTCGCTCTGGATAAGAGTGTCTACTAAAATGTAAATGTCTTATTAAGGACATGTAGAGTGTAGTTAATTGGAGACCAGTGGTCCTGTTATTCTCCAACAATCAGCTCTATTGTTGTGACCTCACTACTAAGCCTGGTCCCTCTAGGTTAGAGCCATGAATGGCTGCTCTGTCTGTAACCACTGTGTGAATGGTTCCTAGCCAGAGGAGAGGGTCATTCAACTAAAATCATCTCCATCATCCAGATTTTCCACATGTTGGGTTCCCTCCAGAAGGGTTATTATTTTCCCTGTTTGTTTACAAACGCAGGCTCCTGTATCATTGTCCTAAATCAGGATTAGAAAGTATTAGGTTTTTGGTCTTTTGAGATAAATATGAAACCTAGTAATTTAAATGGAAAAGACACAGGATGTCTTGCATTGGGACAAATAAAATGCTTGTTTTTAAGCCTTAGAGAGAGACATCTTTTTTTAAGTAAGTCAGTCTCCTATTGAATATTCTTCAACTTTGAACTCTCTCCACAGTTGTTCCCATGGTTACGCTAACTTTAAACCCTTTGCATTGGTCTTTGTGTAGCGTTTAACCTACTTATTCCAATGGAGAATAAAACTGTAGTCAATGACAGTACTTCAATATTAACTGACTGTGATGTTTGTCTGTGTGTAGGTTGGGATGCAGAGATGGACTGGAAGGACGTGTTGTCTGGGGGAGAGAAACAGAGGATGGGCATGGCTCGCATGTTCTACAACAGGTAAGACTTGGCCTGCCATCTTAGGCTTTGTTTAACCCTGTATGTACGGGTTGGAAAAACGTAACAGTAGACATTTAAAGGTGCTGTTGATTGAATATCCCATATTCCTCTCTTGTTTGATAGTTGATTGATTGGTGGCTAGTTGATTTAATTCATCGTTAATTAGACAATTATAAATTACTAATTTCCTTTTACTTGTGTGTCAGGCCAAAGTACGGCCTGTTGGATGAGTGCACCAGTGCTGTCAGCATTGACGTGGAGGGAAAAATATTCCAGGCTGCAAAGGATGCTGGGATATCCTTACTGTCAATCACCCACAGGCCCTCCCTCTGGTAAGAGACAGATATCATATCTGGACCAGTCTGTCCACCCCAATTCTGATATTTTTTGCAAAAAAACTAAAGCAAAAACATGTAGTAGGCTATAAGCAAATGCACCACTAGTTGTCACGTCAGCAGTGCTCTGTTCTGTATTTTCTCTGAGTTAGCCTCAGGCATTAAACATGATTGCAGTGCAAACACAATCAGTACTACCACAATATTGTGCAGGTCTGTTCCTCTCAGGAGATTGCTGCTGCTAGTTAGTTTCTTGTTTAACCTTAGCAGTCATTTTACAAGGCTGAGCACAGCACAAAATAATCACAACATGACTGCAACCACAATAGAACAGAACTCTTGCACCATCACTAACACTGCAATAATTTTGCGTAACACAACCATAAGGTCAAAGACAATTGTATACTATTTTGAAATAATGTTGTGCTTGGACTGGATAATGAATGAATAAAAAAGAGAAACATAACGCAACCATGAAATAATGCCATCCCTAACCCATATTCTTGCTCCACTTTTCATACCTACAGGAAGTACCACACCCACCTGTTACAGTTTGATGGTGAGGGAGGATGGAGGTTCGAGCAGCTGGACACCGCTACGCGTCTCTCCCTGACCGAGGAGAAACAGCGCCTCGAGTCCTCACTTGCAGGAATACCCAAGATGCAACACAGACTCAACGAACTCTGCAAGATCCTGGGAGAGGACTCAGTCCTCAAAACAGCCGACACAGCAGAGGAGTGAAAGAAGAAGAATGAAAGAAAAAGCGAGATTGATGTTCAGAAAAGTCAAAGTATTTATTTTTTGTTTCAACGCACACCAACCGCATATTTCCAAACGTTTCCAGTGTTGGGGTTGAGTTTTAAGAATTCACCAACAATGTTGTTTTAAAGAGGTTTTCATCGCTGGAATGGTTGAGAGACTTAAAATCTCTGACAAGCTGAGACTATCATTTTATTTGGTTGAACAATGAAGTAAAACATTTTTTCATTTCTAGCACTTTACTCAATTTGAGGAATGTACATGTTTATTGCTGTGGTTATCAAGTGCTGAAGTAGTAGGCTTAGGCTTTTTTTTGTGAGACAGTATTTTCCTTATTTTACTGTATAGATTTGTTTGTGTTATTAAAAAAACTCATATGGACCTGAAAAGGCGCAACGCTTGGCATGAAAAATTATTCTGGTCTTTAATAGCCTTCTACGTCCATTTTTTTGAAAACGTGTCTAATAAAACTTTTTTGAAATAATGGTGAGCGAGCGTTGCGCCTTTTCCTGTCCAGTGATGTCTACACATTTTTAGGTGTCACCTCTACTCACTTTGGTTGAGCACCCGCTACTTCTTTCTATAAAAAAACTACTAGAAAGGTCATTGAATGATATCAAACAATGATCATCAAGTTTTTACAATCATATCAAGTTATTCATTAAGGTTAGGCTAATAAGCATACAGTTTTAAAGGTAGCCCAACTGCTCAAATTTAAAGTACCACAGCTGCGATAAATTAGTGTCCCTTTCTATTATCTCAGCCACTGGCGCTGGGTTATATCATAAGGACATCTTCCTTATAACATTACTGAATGTGTTGTTCACAGGTTATCTCCTCAGAACTGCAGTATAATAATATATTCAAAATACCTCAGTTATCTGGCTCTGCATTTTAAATAACACCCTTCCCTAGACCTATATAGTGAACTACTTTGACCGCAACCCTGATTTGTCTTTGTTAGTGGCTAAGATGGTTTTCTTAGGATCTATTATTGGACATTAGTGCATTAGTGACAGAGCTATGGGTCTGTTGCTATAGGCTTCTGGTTTACTGAACAAATACAATGGATTTCAAGGCATTCTGTCTTGTCTCAAGCAGAGCACAGCAGGAATCGGACTGGGCTCGCTCACACAAACGCACACACAGGCACGCTGACGCACACACACCGCCTGGCTAAGCCCTACTCACTATCACTAGGGTAATATCTGTGGAACAGGGTGTTTTGTGTTGTCTCAGTCTACAATCTTCACCCCTATAAAAAATATGTCACATCTTCAGCAAGAGGTTTACATTGTGTTTTACAATAACCACTGTTGTTTTCCGTTGTAGTTCAGTACGGTTTACTTGGTTGCTGAGTTTAATAAACTGTTACCTTGTTATGTACACCCTCAATCTAGTTCTAAAATCAATCTAGTTCAACAATTCATATTTGTTACCAGCGACCTATCTCAGACTGTATACTGTGAACTTTGTTGTTTCTTTTTTTGATAGTCATAAAATGTATTTTTAATGTAGTGATTTTAGAGTTTGATTATGCTGCCTCTGTTCAAACCTGTGTATGTACAGAAAATCTTCTGCTGAACAAATCTGTCATCTCAGCTCTGCTGAGGTTACTATAGGTCAAATCCAAGACCAGTCCTTCTAGTACTTTAGCCTTATAGCCTGGCTGTGTTAGTGTATCCCATATACCAGGGTTCTCCAACTGGCGTTCTGTGTGCAGGTGATTTTTTTTTTGGGGGGGGGGCATAAAAGACTGTAAACACACCAGCAAATCAGCTCCAATTGATTTTAATTTTGGAAATTTGTTCCAAAGTATTCCCACGCATAATAGAGGGTTATATGTGATCGTTTACGATTGTAAACAAGGTTTGAAATTATTATGTTTTAGTCAAATATTATATCTGTTTGGGCTTCTTGCGGTCCATTTGCAGTCTACAAATGATTTGTAATTATGTTCCGGCCCCCTGACCATCCGCTGAAGAAAAAATCAGCCCGCGGCTGAATCTAGTTGATGATCCTTGCCCTATATGGTATATTCAATCAGTGATATCTACAAACATTGGGTATACTGATTGGGTGGCACATACTAGTGCCGGGTTATTTGATTGGCTTATACCCCGACTGTTATAACTGTGACATGTAAGTGTCACAGAATGAAATCAGTAACCGCAATGGCAGAATATTACCAAGTGTACAATAAGTGCATCTGCTATATTTTTACCACTACATCTCAGACTAAACTGTCTTGAAGAGAAGTGACATGGAAAAGAATGTATGTAAGTTATAAATATGTAAACTATATATTGTAATGTATACTTTGTTAATATAGAACTTATATTTGCTTTGCATTCAATGGGTGAGTGTGAGTGATGCCTCAATCACTTGTTATATTTGAACTGTCTCTTTCAATCAATGTTAAACAGAGAGCATTGTGGGAGGATAAATACAATAACTTGCACCATGAATAGTTAGTTGTTCATGGAAGTAAACTAGTGAACTTTTGTAATATACTAGGTAATAAGCCTGAAAAGAACCTACATATTCAGGCTTCTCATTCCTTGGGATTCTAACTAATATTTTGTGTCTTGAAAAGGACACCTGACATAGTTTGAAACCTGATTTCCCTGTACTGTAAAAATATATATATATATATGTGTTGCTCAGCCCTGTTGATAGGAAGTATCTACAGTATACTACTGGATGAAACAGTGTCTTAAAGTGACTGAGAATGGTATGGAGTGAGTAGAATCAAGAGGTGATGCTTGAAACTGTATACATGAAAACATGTATACATGACCATGAGTTTAGCTATGTAACCAAGACTATGGATCAAAGTCAAACAAAATCAAATATACTTTGATATTCTATAAAATTGCAACAGTTAAGTTAGGCCTACTCTAGTATGTTCCCACAACACTTTGACTTACTAACAATTCTTTGATACAATTATTTTGTCATTGTTTTAATAAGTGGAACATCAGAATGTACTGTATTTGACATGTATTATAGCATTTTACTTTGTCATAGGTAATTCATTCAATTTTGGCAACTGTGACAATTTAAGTTTGTTAGCAAAATGGTTGTTTATTTAATGGTACCTCTTGTAGTAACTAATGCATGTGTTGTATCATTATTTTATTAAAGAGAGAAACAAACTAATTTATGTTATTATGTGAATGGGGTCTGTGTTGTGCTATAGGCCTAGTGATGCTGGGACTATAAGAGGCATTGTCTCCCCTCTCTTCTAGTCTCCTTCTGAATTTTAAATGGTGAGAAAACAGACAAAACGTTTTAAGCCCACCTGTTCTGTTACTGTTGTTCATTCTGCATGCGAGAATGTGCACTTACATAAATGTGAATCCTAAATGTAGTTTCAAATATGCTTAAAATCATATGCTTGGCTCATTACACTTTTTATTTGGAAAATGTATTTTCCTGTAAATAAAATAAGACAACCACTAAGACTGTGTAAAACTGAAATGATTGATTCATTGTTGTTGGTTGTCATTAGTCAGCATTTTGTGGTTGGTTGCTTATTCCAGTCTCAGAGGACAGGGGCATTCAATGTAACGTGTATCTGATGCCATCTGGTGTATAAAGACGGAAATGATTTGGATCACACTGCACTTTTCTAATCTTAACCAATGACCACGCGATGGTGCCATCCGCCATCCATGCGCCCTTACATCAGTAATGTCATTGCAACACTATTAGGCCTACACCATTTTGTATTTCACAAACATATTCACTATAGATTGGAATGTCAAACTATATGACTACATACAATATGCTAAACCTCTTCATTTTTAATTGGAACGGCGGTTGTTAACTGCATTGGACGTTTTAAATTGCATTGCAGATAACAAGGTTGCTTGATGATTACTTGAGACTCAGCTAGTGGTCATCAATAATCCACAATTTTCCATCAATTGGCCTCTATAATAGGCCTTGAGAAGGTTATCATTTAACGAACAGTTTTACATTCTTAAGAAAACTATACACATTCACTTTAAGTATTCCATTGAATGATGTTACAATAGATGGGCTACGATGTTTATTCACTCATTCAATGGGGTTGATATTTTCCCTCTGTCAGATTGGTAGGGTACATCTCAGAAGGCGTGGCTTGATTACGTTTCGCTCCTCCGGTCACACACAGGAGGGGCAAGTGTATTCTTCTGTCCCTACCACCTAGCAAGGCTGGCCTCTACACGGGAATAATGCAATGTAATTGAAAATGTAACCTAAAATATCGTAGCTTACGTTTATTCAGAATGCGCCTCACCCGAGATATACCACAGAGAATAGCACACTAATGCTGACTTTGTATTGAAATTATTTAAATAAGGTGGATGTGAACGGTAACGAAGCTGCCTGCTGTAAGCGGATAAAGAAAAATAAAATCAAGCTATTTATATCGAGGTTGTTCCAGCCGTGACAACCCTCCGTACATCGGAAACATGAGTGGACAGGACGAAAGTTCGGTGCGGGTCGCATTGAGGTAAGTCTGTGACATTGGATGGTGTTCTGTTCTGTTTGAAAATTATGCTCATCTTGGTCACGCCTCTCCAGAATAATGTACCTATTATTATTGTGACCATGCCGGTGTTGATAAACCACAGCATGGGCTGTTATGATGGCCTAGTTACTGTGTAATAACATTAATGTGTGGATAGCCTAAACAATTGGGCATTCGTTCCAAAATAACGCACAGTAGGCTGCAATGTGGCAAAGCAATCGACGCTTACTTGGGATTAGAGATAGCATTAACAATACATTTAGCAGACGCTCTTATCCAGAGCGACTTACAGGAGTAATTAGGGTTAAGTGCCTTGCTCAAGGGCACATCGACATATTTTTCACCTAGTCGTCTCAGGGATTAGAACCAGCGACCTTTCGGTTACTGGCACAATGCTCTTAACCACTAAGCTACCTCCTTGTATTTATTCTAGGGTGCATGTCAAATGTCAAACAGCTAA